TGCAGCCGTCATTGTTGTTTGGCGGGTCCGGACTGGGGATTTGAACCCGCCACCTTAGGTGTACGTGGCTGGTGCCTTAGCCAGTTGAGCTATAGGCGCCGAGCCTTAACTTCTATCATTTATAAAGAGTCAAAATTTCATCTCCTTTATAAAATCTTCATTAATGTAAAAGGAATCAAAATGAAAAGACCAAAATTTAAATTGGTTTGGTCTAATTTAAACCAAACTAATGGTTTGGTCTAAACATCACAATTTATAATCTACTTAGAAATGTCTATAACATAAATTAAATCTTTCTCTAACTTCTCTTTTTTAATTTTTTTTTGTTTTTATTAAATCATAACTGTGTACACTGATGCATTTATGGGGTTCAGTATACTGATTTGGTATACGATATGAAATGCTTACTAATGTATCTTTTCTGAAGAAACTTTTATTTAGATTGTTAGATCATCTTGCAATATAAAATACCTGCAAAATGTCCTTGGACATTTTTTATCCTCACTCAGAAATATTGAGTTTTCTTTTTTCCTTGTCTAGCATAAATCTTTTTTTTTTTTGAGATAGAATTTCATTATGTTGCCCTCTGTAGAGTGCTGTGGCATCATAGCTCACAGCAACTTCAAACTCTTGGGCATAAGCGATTCTCTTGCCTAAGCCTCCAAAGTAGCTTTTGATCTGTATGAACGAATTTACAGGCACCCACCACAACGCCCAGCTACTTTTTATTGCAGTTGTCATTATTGTTTAGCTGGCCCAGGCTGGATTCAAACCTACCAGCCTTGGTGTATGTGGCTGGTGCAGTAACTACTTTGCTACAGGTGCCTGGCATAAATCTTGAATCATCCTATATAAACTGCAAATAATTTGTATTGCTTTCTTTATGCTATTTTCCACAACTGCACAAATGTATATTGTTTTAGAATGTAAACAAAACAGGAATTTGTAAAATGTTATAATACAGTAAAACATTACCACTTGTAACTCCATTCAAGCTCACTTCATATTCCCCACATTTTAAGAAACCAAGGAAAAAAACAAGAGATCCCTGTACCAATCAATAGTATGAACATGGCATAATGCTTAACATATTCAAAACTCCTTTCCTTGGGTTATCTCATTTGATCTTCAAAATAATTCCAGAAAAATCAGATATCATTCATTCCATCAACAGACAGCAAAACTTGCCCAAGGTTACAAAGTAAACAAGTTAAAACTCAAATCTTCTAACCTTGCGTCCAACTATTCTTGAATAGCTAACTCAAAGGGGAAGGCCAACATAGTTCTCAAGTAGCATTTGCCTCACCGCTGTCATGGTGCACCTATTTTTAAAGCCCTCAGCAAAATAAAAACATAACTATATATACAGATTCTCCCTGTTTCTATCAGAAAACATCTTTTAAAATATTTACACTGTAAGACGCCATTCTCAAGTATAACAAATTAAAAACTTTCTTCTACTAGAAACATGAAAACATGTCACTGATTACAAATAGTACTTATTTTTAAATCATGAATTACCAAGTGTTCACTTGGTATCCTTTACTTACCGAGACAATGTTGTTTTCCCAGAACCAGGCAAGCCTCTTAAAAGAATAAGTATCTTCTGCAATTTATTTAACTTTTCCTCTTGAAAATGCTGGTTCACAAACCTGTCTGTTGCATTATGTTTGTCCACAGAAGGATCTTTCCAGTATCCTTCTCTGATTTCACAGAAATCATTATTCATATATCCACCTTGCATACTGCAGCCATTTCTAGAGGGATGAATGCTATCGCTAGTCTCACAATAGTCAGTATATTCACTGCTCTGATCAAAAGTCAAACAATTCCAGTTAACATTACAACTATCTACAAAATATCCATTTTGCATTTGACACTCATCTTGGGCTTGGAAAATACTTAATGGTGGATTTGGTGGAGCATTGAATCTTTGAATATTTAAATGATAGTTCAAACTGGGAAAAGGAGGACCATGGGGTTCTATAAAAGGATGCACTGACTGCCATTCAGGCCTAAAGGAAGTAAATGGAAAATCGCAAAATGTAGTTATTACTTGTCCATTACAGGGATATTTGCCGGGGTCATTCTCCAAGTTCTGTTGATAACCACAATGTGGCTGAAGAGCATTAATAAGATCTTTCTTTTCTTCATCAGATTTTAAAAGATCATTATTATGGCCCTGATAATATGGCATAAATTGTTCCTGAGGAGGTTCAGGTTCCTTACAACTGTTTTCCAAATCCTCTTTTTCATTCTCAAGCTCTTCAATTTCTTTGTAAAACTGGAATAATTCATCATCAATCTCTGATTTCTTAAGTTTCTGTTTCTCTTTTTGTCCTCCTTTGTCATTTATACCAGTGAGGTCGTCTGCCTCATTCCTCCTTTCTTTACATTTCTTTTTCTCAGGGGGTTTGTAAATGGGTCCTATAAACGCTTTACTTGTGCTATATATCCCATCGTCTGTGGACAGTAATGGAGGACCTGCAACCTGTAAAACTTGTGAATCAATGGATTCAACATTTGATCTCTTAGCAGGCACTGCATCATGCAAAGGTCTCCGTAAATCAGTAGTTTTGGTTTTATCCTCCTGAAAAGAACTATGTCCTCTGACATCAATGATGCTCACAGGGACCCGATCATTTCCAGTTTTCTCTTGGTTTCCGTGGAAATCAGCACTAGTATGATGAGGAAAAATGTAAGCCTCTGCAGTTGCCTTCAATTTTTTATAGCGAGGTTCACTTGTTACTTCCTCTCTAGATCCCAAGAATTTAGCTTCAATTTCATCATAAGGCATCTGAGGAGAAAAAAAAAAAAAAAAAAAACATATAATTATTAGCTAGTATGTAAAAAATCTAAAGTTTCTTCACAAATAAACTAGAAAAATGCGTTTACATTTGTAATAGAAACATCTAATGTAACATCTCCCCTAAATATTAGAGGCAAAAGGTTTTTTTTTGTGACAGAGTCTCACTATGTTGCCCCTTGTTAGAGTGCTATGGCGTCACAGCTCACAGCAACCTCAAACTCTTGGGCTTAAGGGATTCTCTTGCCTCAGCTTCCCAAGTAGCTGGAACTAAAGGCGCCCTCCACAACGCCTGGCTATTTTTTGTTGTTGTTGTTGCAGCTGCCATTGTTGTTTAGATGGCCTGGGCCGTGTTCAAACTCACCAGCCTGTGAGCTACAAAAGGTAATTTTAAAACCCCCAATTAAGTACTGTCATAGGGTGGTGCTCGTAGCTCAGTGAGTTGGCTGGTGAGTTACAACTCGGCCCGAGCCAGCTAAAACAACACTGACAACGGCAAGGAAAAAAATAGCCGTGCATTGTGGTGGGCGCCTGTAGTCCCAGCTACTTGGAAGGCTGAGGCAAGAGAATCGCTTAAGCACAAGCGTTTGAGGTTGCTGTGAGCTGTGATGTCACAGCACTCTACCGAGGGCGACATAGTGAGACTCTGGTCTCAAAAACAAACAAAAAACCCCACTAGTTTTGGGGAGTGAATGGTTCCAATTCCCAAACCTCTGACAACCGATCTCCTCAGCATCCAAATGCAGTCTAGATTAACTGAAATGCCAGTCTTTGTTGTCCTTTCTCCTGTGAGTAGTTACTGTAAGCGCGGTTCCCTAATGGGTGTAGCACTCAATTTAGACTGGGGGTAGGGGGCAAAAAAAAAAGATACTTCTGTGACGAACACCAGCCCTTCTCCTCGGCCAACTCTCAGCCACTCGTTTCCTCCTCCGAAATATGTGTGAAAGGCAGGAGGGCTACGTTCACACAGTGTGGCCTAAAAACAACCTAAGCCCGGTGCCTCATGACCTCCACAGAGAGCTGCCTGGGCAAAACTACATTACCTACTTTCTTTGTCCCAACGAAAACAGATTCGGTCCCGTCTAGGAAATCTGGAGGTCTCTGAGACTCAAAAGTTCACTCTTGCTTCCACGGAGTGAACAGCCAATCTGAGGGGTCCAGCCAAAACCGGCGACAACCCGAGTCGCTAATGGAAGAAACCGAAAAACGACCGCACCACCCCACCCTCACTGAAAACGAGGTGTCTACTCACTTTACTCTACAGCTCTGCATCGACCTCCCAATAAAATCTTCTTTTAAAACGACACCTTTCTGAAGGTGAAAGGAAAGCCGCAAAGCGCAGATCTGTAAGAACTAAGAGCCCAGCCCTCAGGATCGAGGTAACAGGCCGCACTCCGTACGCAAGATGGCGGCCACCGCACAGTTCACCCGGCAGGAATTACGGTCGCGCCATGCATTGTGGGGATTGTAGTCCGGTGTTCACACTGGCGCCGTAAACCTCAGGGCACGGAGACTTGGTCTCCCAGAAGCCACAGGGCGGCATACGCACTAATTTGACAACAAAAGCGGACTGGAACTATTTTCTCTATCTGGAACGAGGAAGATGTACAGGAACTCTAATTTAGGTTCAAAAAAAGCAGCGACCTCCTCTGGTGTTCACCCCTGAAGGAAAAGAGAACCCGGAAACCGGGCGCTGCGAAATAAATGCATAAGCTGCAGCAAGTGATTTTCCAGCTTTCTGGAAGAAAAACATCTTTTTTTTTTTTTTTTTCAGATTAATGTGAGGGTACATGAGGACTAGGTTTCATTGCTTTCAATTGTAAGTTAATGTCCGAGCTTCACACAGGAGGCGTGCCTTACACCGTGCGTCGGACTATTGGAGTGGGAACTTGAACTTCCTACCCTCCTTCCCCCAGAATCAGCGGATTTTCCAGAGGGTTCTCAACCTTTGGTGTCACAGTTTGTTTGCCCTGGCTTCTGCGGAAGATCATAAGGCATAATTTTAGGCTCATGCTCTTCTAAGGAAGGAGAGAATCACTTCGGCATGGCCAGATAACAGATCAAAAATGTTTATGAGGGCTCGGCACCTGTAGCTCAGCTAAGGACGCCAGCCACACAAGCCCGAAATGGTGGGTTCGAATCCAGCCCGGGCTTGCCAAACTACAAAGACAACTACAACCAAAAAATAGCCGGGCGTGGTGCTGGGCGCCCGTAGTCCCAGCTACTTAGGAGGCTGAGGCAAGAGAATCGCTTGAGCCCAAGAGTAGAAGCTTGCTGTGAGCTGTGATGCTTCAGCACTCTACCAAGGGCGACAGCTTGAAACTCTGTCTCAAAAATAAATAAATAAGTTTATGAGAAAGCGTGATTAGTGTCATGTTGCTGTTTTGATTTTAGAAATGTAAACCAGTTGCTGAACTTTCCCATTAAAAGAGTCTGTAAGTGAAAAGTGAGCGCCCCATAAAAATAAGTGCTATGTGTTTGTTAACTTAGAAATAAATACAAACCGAACTGGTAATCCTCAATTGAGGGCCCATTTTTCCTTCCGTGCCGCCTCTCCACTGTGCTTGGCTCTCCCACCCCTATTCTTTTGGGTCTCTACAAGCGAAACTGCTAATCTCCTTGTATGTAAGTAATTCCTTCTATGGTTATGTATCCTTCTCCACTCCCGACATCGTAACGTTTTAATTTATAACAATTAAAATCACAATCTGGAATATATATACATTTGATTATTTAACTAACAACTTTATGACCAAGAGTGTTTACTAACGCAATCCACCATCCCCTTAGAATATTCCTCAAATACTAATTCCCACTATGACCTTTGCCTGTTTTCCTCGTGACTACATTCAAATAATGCAGCCTCCCTTAAACCCCTTAAACCATCACATAAATGAGATTGTGGCCTTCTCACAGTACTATATCCAAAAGCACAAGATGTATGTTTGTTCTTTAACCTTTATTATCCCATCAAGATATGTGCAGTTCTGCCACAGTATATTTTTCCCCTTGAAACCAATAAGCAATCTGTGAGGTGATACTTTGAAACCAAGCAGATATCCTACTCCTAATCAAACTTTGCCTTATGGTTCAGATTCCTTAAATGTCAGGGTGTTTCTAGCTCCTTTAATTAGGAAGAGTCCTGCTAATTTATTTATTATTTACTATCAGCATAAATTTATGGATTCTTTTTTGTTCAAGAAGGTATAACCGGCTCGGCGCTTATAGCTCAACCGGCTAAGGCGCCAGCCACGTACACCTAAGGTGGCGGGTTCGAATCCCCAGCCCGGACCCGCCAAACAACAATGATGGCTGCAACCAAAAAATAGCCCGGCGCTGTGGCGGGCGCCTGTGGTCCCAGCTACTTGGGAGGCGGAGGCAGGAGACTTGCTTGAGCCCAGGAGTTGGAGGTTGCTGTGAGCTATAATGCCACGGCATTCTACCCAGGGGGACAGCTTGAGGCTCTGTCTCAAAAAAAAAAAAAAAAAAAAAAGAAGGTATAACCCATTGCTGTTCCTATTTATTGTTAAAAGACTATTTTAAAAACAGAGATGCACAGAAAAATTGAGCGGATTATATGGAGTTCCCACGTACCTCCCCCCCTCCAGGCCCTCAAACATAAGTGGAAAGTGCCCATATTACTAGCCTCTTACCCTGTTACAATAAATGATTAATATAACTTACTATAATGTAGTTATATTGTTATATGTCCATTATATATGTATTAGCTACTGTGGAAAAGGAATTCTTATAACTGAGAGCAGTGGGTGATCTCCAAAATCTTTTTTTTCATCTTGAGTGTCCTTTCCTCCATTCTAATGTTTTATGGTTATATGTCTTCATTTTATGACCAAAGATTAGCCAGTTGATGAAGAAATTAGAAACAAAATCTTTGTGGAGTCCTACTTTCCCAGTCCCCTTTGATCTTTTTTCTTTGAACAACCTTTAACAAGCCACATTATATTGTCTTTGAATTTTTTGCCTATGTGGGACTTTAACTTTCCCATTGATATTCTTATGGGTCAGGACTGCCCTAGGTTTTGTGCCATCTTTGAGCTTTTGTATTATAGCAATAAAAATATTAGTTCACCAGAATGTTTCCTATGGCATGTATTTCATTTCTTAAAAAAAAAAAACACATTTAGGCTTGGCGCCTCTGGCTCAAGCGGCTAAAGCGCCAGCCATGTACACTTATGGTGGCAAATTCGAATCCAGCCCTGGCCCACCAAACAACAATGACGGCTGTAACCAAAATATAGCCAGATGTTGTGGTGGGCACCTGTGGTCCCAGCTACTTGGGAGGTAGAGGCAGGAGACTCGCTTGAGCCCCAGAGTTGGAGGTTGCTATGAGCTCTGATGCCACAGCAGTCTACCCAGAGGGACAGCTTGAGGCTCTGTCTCCAAAAAAAACACATATTTGGTTTCTGAAAAATTACATATGGTTTTTTTAGGGCCCTCCTGTTTTCCTCTTTTTGGAATTATTTAGCAAACTAAAATTACACTTTTTAAGAGTTTGCCAATACTTTGAATCCTCTTTCTTCTTTTTCTTTTTTTTTTTTTTTGAGATAGAGTTTCATTTTGTCACCCTCGGTAGAGTGCTGTGGTGTCATAGCTCACTGCAACCTCCAGCTCTTAGGCTTAGGCAATTCTCTTGCCTTAGCCTCCCGAGTAGCTGAGACTACAGGCCTTTCTTTCTTTCTTTCTTTCTTTTTTTTTTTGAGACAGAGTTTCACTTGGTTACCGTTGGTAGAATGCCATGGTGTCATAGGTTACAGCAACCTCAAACTCTTGGGTTCAAGTGATTCTCTTGCCTCAGCCTCCCAAGTAGCTGGGATTACAGACACTTGCCACAATACTCCGTTATTTTTAGAGGCGGGGTCTTGCTCTGGCTCTGCTGATCTCAAACCTGTGAGCTCAGGCAATCCACCTGCCTCAGCCTCCCAAGTACTGGGGTTACATTTGTGAGCCACCGCACTGTACCCTCAAGTGATTCTCTTGTCTCAGCCTCCCAAGTAGCTGGGACTACAGGTGCCTCCCTACTATGCCTGGCTATTTTTAGAGATGAGGTCTCTCTCTGACTCAGTCTAGTCTCTAACTCGTGAGCTCAGGCAGTCCACCTGCCTCAGCCTCCCAGAATGCTAAGTCTGAGCCAACTCTCCTGGCCAAATCATCTTTTCTTTATATCATGTATAGAGTTCTTACTCTCTTTGGCCTTTCTATCCCTGGCTATTACACACACAAAATTGATAGTATCATTTCCTCAATTCTCATCACTTTTCTTGTGATAATCTACACTGGTTGATGACTCAGTTGCACTTTTGGACCTAGGCCATGACTAAACTTCATGTCACTTATTCCAGCTCTTGTTCCATCCTGATACATAGGTGTTATGAATGACCCCAAGCCTAGTTGGCCATTCACAATTACTAGGGTGTTTTTGTGGGGAGTGGGTTCTGCCACAGTAGCCACACACATAGAAGGGCTATATAAGTCTCTTAGCCACAGTTTTGCCACCAGATTATAAAGAAACCCAATTCTAGACAAAATTCTGTTACATAAGCGGACATTTATTAGCAAATTCCACAAAACAGAGCAACAAAAACTATAAACCTGTTTTGTAGCTCAGGGAAGTCTCAACTTTGTCCTTTAAGTGTGCTAGTCATGGGTGGCACCTGTGGCTCAGTGAGTAGGGTGCCAGCCCCATATACCGAGGGTGGCAGGTTCGAACCCAGCCCTGGCCAAACTACAACAAAAAAATAGCCGAGCATTCTGGTGGGCTACTGTAGTCCCAGCCTGGGAGGCTGAGGCAAGAGAATCGCCTAAGCCCAAGAGTTGGAGGTTGCTGTGAGCTGTGACGCCACAGCACTCTATGGAGGGTGATAAAGTGAGACTCTGTCTCTAAAAAAGAAGTGTGCTAATCATAACTTGCAAGAAGAGCTTATTGTAACTAATAGGACACAAGAGCTGAATTTGGTTACTTTATAAATGAGAGGCAGTAAGAATTCTCCAAATTAGTAGCTGAATGCAAACTTTTTCAGAATAAAACTTCATATATTCCAATGATTACCCGGTTAATGCAAGGGTGAGGATTGCTACTATATTTCCACATATTGACACATCTTTCGGCTCGGCGCCTGTGACTCAAGTGGCTAAGGCCCCAGCCACATACAACTGAGCTGGCGGGTTCGA